GAACCTGCAGGATGTGTTTCTATGGCGTGAACATTGTCACCTCAGATGGCTTGGCCTACCCCAGTCGCTGCCCTGGCGTCTTCTTTCTGTTCGATGAGAACCACTTCGGGTTCATCTGGCTGGAGCTGAAACACTTATTCCTGTTCTGCAGAGTCCAGAACACCTTCCAGAATGTGGAGGCGCCGTCCCCACAGGCCTTCCTGGAGATGCTCTCGAACATTCAGTCCGGACCCCCTGAGAGGAGCAGCTTCTATCCACTTTGAAGATTTGACCTTCTGTCCAGGTTACCCACCTTTGTTTGTTTTTTTAATCCTCACCCGAGGATATTTTCCCATTGATGTTTAGAGAGAGTGAGGGAGAGAGGGCTGCAGCTTCGGAGGAGCAGCCTGTCCCGTTCGTTCTGTCTGTGGCCGTGTGCTCAAGAGACGAGAACTTAGAGAAACACATCAGTTGTTTGCCTCCTGCCCAAGCCCGGACCGGGACCAGCAATTGAGGTAGAAATAAACCTTAGACCAGTGGTTCTCAACCTTCCTAATGCCGCGACCCTTTAATACAGTTCCTCATGTTGTGGTGACCCCCAATTTCCTTGTTACAAATTGCACATAATTAAAGCATAGTGATTAATCGCACAAAGAAATAAAGACATCAGTTGTTTGCCTCCTGCCCAAGCCCGGACCGGGACCAGCAATTGAGGTAGAAATAAACCTTAGACCAGTGGTTCTCAACCTTCCTAATGCCGCGACCCTTTAATACAGTTCCTCATGTTGTGGTGACCCCCAATTTCCTTGTTACAAATTGCACATAATTAAAGCATAGTGATTAATCGCACAAAGAAATAAAGACATCTTACTTAATATCTATTGTTTATTTATTAACATTGAACTCATGGCCAATGGCAATAGAGCTCATTTCTTATGAACGCTTATCTAACAGATCCGTTATCTCCACAAAGCATAGCCAGTGCTTTGGCACTAAGGCTGCGGGCTGTTTTAAACAGCAGGGGCACAGGCTCCTGGGATGGCGTCTTCAGAGACAAATGGGGACTGTTCCCATTCCTCATGGGGATCTGAAGAAAAGAAGGAACATGGGGGAAAGGCAGAAAGCAGCAGCTCCTCAGACTCCAGCAGTAGCGATGAAGATGCCAGCAGCTCCAGCTCATCTTCCTCGGGGACACCTCTGACTCAGACGCCAACCGAGCTTTGTTCATTCCTAGGTGGCGGGACAGAGAACTGCCCAACAGAAGTCTTTGGCATCTGTGTACACTGCAGGGTCTTCTCCCTGTCCCTGTTTATTGCTTTACTTCCTTCCTTGGCCCTCCTCCTCCTCAATACCGAGTAGGATAGGTTGGGTATATTTAAATGCCATTTAACAAAGAAAAATCAACCAAAAAATGAGTTTGCGACACGCGTGTCATAGGTTCGCCATCACTGCCCTATACCATCAGTACCACTCCCTCTAGGAGCCCCAAGCAATGAAGGATCTTGAAACAAACAGAGATGATGGGGCAGCTGTGAGGAGCACACTGCACTGGACTGTGTATTTGTGAAGAAATAAGTTTTGCTTTTCTTATTTTCTGTCTGCCAGAGGTGGTCGGGGGCCACCATGAGCCTGTGACTCCTACATTCTCTGCAAGAACTCTACCTCTGGACTCTTATACTACATCTGGTGTGAGAAAGGAGTTGCCATTCTTTATGTGACAGTGGTCATGTAGCAGGCAATATTTATACCTGTATATTTAACTCTGACATCTCTATGAGACTTTATTACTAATTTCAAATAAAATTATATTTTCTAAAAAAAAACAACTAAAAAGGCATGATAATGAGATATAAAAGGGCAAGAGCTAGGATGTTCTGTGGCTTCTCTGGCACATTCGTTCTGTTTGGAGTCATTGTGAAAGCTTCCATTCACTTCACAACCTTGGGCTCCTACCCAGCAGTGATTCAAAGTACAGACTGAAATGTCCCCTGTGATCTGTACCACTTTTTTGGAGGGCACTAATACAATCATATCAGTAAGCAGTTAGCACGCATGGCACAATGAAAAGAGTGTAGGTTATGGAGTCAGCAAGACCTGAATTCAAGATCTGACCAGGCCTTGTGTTGATTAACTGAACTCCCTGGGCATGTCCTTCATTCTCTTTAAGTTTCAGTTTCTTCATTTAAAAAATGGAGATAATAATGCTTACTTTGCACTGACGATAAAAAGAGCCACTGTCTATAATGCTCTGAATACATTGCTTTAATCACTATTTTCAGGATTGAATTAATTTTTTGGGGGGAAAAAAAGATTCTGAATCAACTGAACAATACACTAGTAATATTTATATAGGTCTATTGGAAGTCTTGGTAAACTAAGCCAGGTAGTAGAATGATTAATTGAATGTGGAGTTATATTTAAAAACTATCAAACTCACCTATGACATTCTTAGCCAAATGCCATCCAGGAATAGATTATTTCCTAAGAATATCAGTCTGAAAGGAAATACACTCTTTTGTGGACACAAGAGTCTCTTTTTAAGCCAAGCAATAATCAAGATACTTGTGATGGAGAACTGTGGGGAAGGAGACCTTTGGAATATCTAGATGCGGTGCCGAGCAGGAGGGCTTGAGAGCCACCCTAGCATAAGCCCCAAGGGTGAGGACGGCAGGGGCCGGAACTTGCCCTGGAAATGGCCGATGAGGCTGAGATCCCCTCCTGCTGCTGCCCAGGAGCCGAGCGGGCACCGTCTGATCTCCTTGTCTGCCTGAGGGATATTGTGCTTCAGTTCTGCAAGGATGTGGGACCCCGTGGAGATACAGGGGGGTTTTACCTACTGTTTCTGCTCAGCGCGTACCCAAGGACCAGAAGGCTCCTTCTAAGGAAACAATTTGAAGCCTGGCCAGATGGAGTTGTGGGTGGAGGCCATGTTGAGTAGCAGCCTTTGAGAGAGAGAGACCATCCGGTCTCTGTTCCAGGGCAAAGTTTTTCCCACCTTAAGCACTTGGTGCATCACCTGCACACTGGACACCGGAGTGTCTTGAAGAGCAAGGATTAGCCTTTAGTGCCTTTAGTTAGGTACATTGCTCGGAGTGCGCAAAACCCTCATTTCATCTGAAACCTAGAATCTACTTCCATAGTAGTGATGGTGCTGGCATTAGTTGCCTGAGGCTGAGCATATCCCAGGCATTTAGTGGTAAGGAGCCGGTCCTCTCCTGGCCTGTCCACTCTGTGCTGAACAACTGACCGAAGCACACTGACCGCTGAGCTCAGCGCTGGGAAGCGGAGGTGTGACAGCTTCTCTGGTCCATTCATTCTGCCTGGAGGGATTGCGATGCGTTTTCTTTTGTTGATGGAAAATGACTCACATATTGTTTCCTTACTGCTTTGGTTCCTGGGCCCAATTCCCCAAAGGCGTTTCCCATCATAGCTTAGCTAACTCCTAAAGGAAATAGAATGTAGCAGTGGTAAAATATTACTGGATATTACTACGTTTTAGACTTTAATGTTTTATTTTGGTGCTTTTGTTACCTTTGTTCTCACGTAAGGGGGTGTCACATCTATATTCCTAGCAGAACTACCCACAAATAAAAGCATATAACCTGCCCGTACAGCTACATATATTCTCTGTAGCCCTGTGTATGTTTTCATAGTGCTTTTTAATATATCAAGCTGACATCTCTGATGGTGATGAAGATGTCATGAATGATGTAAGATAAACTGAAGTGAAGTGAAACCCAGAACCAAAGGCTCCTTTACGTCACTATGGGAGTGGCCGAGCCTGCCGCAGAAACCTCACCTATAACCTTCAAGGCCACATCACTTGCCACCAAGTTCAGAAATCCTTCTCTGCCCTCGATAAGCAGATCCTTTGTTCCCCTGCTGAGATTCCCTAGCTCGCCCCTTGTCTGCAGCATTCATTTGGCTGTAATTTTCCATTCTATCCAGTGCATTCCTCTGCCCTGTGTTTACATAAAAGTGTATTGTAACCTCCTTCAGAACTAGGACCTTTCTTTTTTGAAGTGAGCCTGTGTTTTCTACCCTGCCCTGCAAAAAGGAATCCAAAAAGTATGTATTGTGTGATGATATTTTTCCCTGTCTTGTTGATGAATAGACAGTGAATCCAATGTTCTGTGCCGGGGATATGGTGTGAACAAGGCAGATGGGGACTCTGCCTTTGATTAGAAATAATTACCCCAAGTTTTCCTTCTTCCCTCTCTATGTGTACATGCTGGGGAGTTGAGTGGGAGAATGTAACAAGAGACTGGAAAGGAAAGGAAAGTGGGTAGATAGAAGAAACACGGTGAGTTTTTGGAAAGTGTGGAAAGGGCAGACATTGCCCCGATTCTCATTTTCACAGTGCATTTGAGAAGTTGAAAACATGGGTTCTGGAGTCAATCCCCTGCTTGTGTTCAAATTCCCACTCCGCTTCCTTTTTGGGTGACCTTGGACTTATTTAATCTCACGAAGGCTCAATTTCTGCTGTGAATAGAGTCAGACGCATCAGATTAGATGATGTTGGGTGCCTCCCTCATAGTATGTGCTCAGTGGCAGTGGTTATTAACTCCTTTATTATTTTAGCTACTGTTATTTTTACATGCACGACTCTAAGGAAGACCGTGCCCAGGACGCCTGGAATAGGGCAGAGACAGCCCAGGCTGGGCATGTGCTCAGAGGTGGCCTTTCCCAGATGGTAGAGCAGCTCCAGGCTCCCTGCTCACCTCTGAAGGGAGTGCTGGAGCCTTTCACATCTGGGCTTATTCTGATAGCGGTGGGCTCTCTAGCGCCCCCCTCCTGCTGGCCGCCCCCCTCTTGCCGCAGTAAGCCTTAGTAGATGGGAACATGTGAAAGGAAAGATACATTTCTTCTCCTCTTTGGTCTCCCGGTTGTAAATTTACTGAGATCTGATGGGAAGAATCATGTTCAGTATTTTGTAGCTTAAACTTTCCTGGCTAGACTTTATTTTCTCTAATACTAACAAAATGGATTTTCTTTCCCCCCCTACCCTCTCTTGTTAATAGGGTGCTGAGAAAATTTTGTCAATGAATGAATCAGGAGAACTGCAAGACCTCTTAACCAAAATTGAGGTAATTGTGCTTTTAGCAACTTATTTTTAGTAATCCAAATGTTAAACACATTCTGATTGTAACTGAGTTTTCCTACTTGAATTTTTCCATGTTCTTACACATATGTAACAGGATACATGTGGCAGTTTTAATTTGATGTCACCTGTCATTAAATTTTCTCTAGTTAGAGTGGCTTTAGTGTTTGTTTCTAACAACCTCATAGTATTAGGTGAAAATTCCAGTCTGCTTTAGTAGAGCCTAATTCTCTAATAGAGGTGATGTTGATGAGGTGTTTCAAATCAAACACTTGTCTTAAAGCATATTTAACATTTTTCATGTAAATCATTTTATTTTTCTCATGGATCATTTTTAAATATTACAAAAATTTATTTCTATAAAGTGCACATTTAAATTTTGTTCCTATACTGATTATTACAACATCAGAGAAATACTTATTCAAATATGCAATGTATCAAGTCAGTATGCAACCAGAAAGTCCCTAATCCTTCTCTGCTAAGCTTGCTTTTCTCTATATGTAGGAAGACCATGTATTTTACCATGGAAACTGGGAGACTTTGAGAGTGCAAAGGGGGTTTATAATTTTTCTGGGATAGCCAACATGAGCCTAGGTGTTCCCAGGTGAACTAGGTAGTCTGCTTACCTGGATCTAGTGTATATGCCCTTACCAGCTCATCCTGGTCTAGTCTCCTTTGCTGACCTTGTTTTTCATTGCCTACCATTCCTTCCACTTCAGTTAAAACAAAGAACTCTTTGTGCGTTATTACTGCCATTCCTTTGTGCAAGCTGTTCTGTCTGCCCGGAATGCTCTTGTTCCAATTCCTCCTGTCCCTCCATGGTCCTCGAGCCCCATCTGCAACATCACTTCTTCCCCAAATCATTCCCGACCTCTCCCCCCTCTGAATTCCTCTGACCCTCTTTCTGTTGGGTGCTTTTCAAAGTATTTTGATTTTTTTATGACTTTTCTTTGGGTATTTCATTCATGTCCCAAATGAACTCTGTGCCCCTTGGATTTATTCATATCATGTTTCATATTGTGACCTTCTCAGAAGGACAAACAATGAGGATATGCACTTGATAGTTTAAAACTCCTTTTGAAAACCTCTATGGGAGGAGCTAATTTCTTTCCCTTGGTACCTATATCCTACTCCACCTGCATGGAACCATTAATTTGAGTGAATATGTATTTTTTTACTTATGTGAATTAAGTTGGTTAATGTGTGTTATTTTCTGTGCACTTTTTAAACTTATGTAAATTTAATGAAATATATGTTATGAAATATATGTAATTTTGTGCCATATTATTTTCTCTAGGCACTATGTTTTTCGGTACCATCTATATTGCTGTGTGAACATTTAACCTGTTTCTTCTAAGTGCTGTGTAGTTCTACAGGACAACAGTGCTCCATAGAACTTTCTTCGGTGATGGAAATGTTTATATATCTGTGTTATCTAAAATAGTGGCCATTGCTGCATGTGGTTATCTAACACTCAAAGTGTGGCTAGTGCGACTGAGGACTTAAATTTTTAATTTTATTTAATTATTCTTGATTTAAATTTAAGTTTAAATGCCACATGTGGCTCATAGCTCTTGTTTTGGATTTTGTAACTCTATGAAGCCCACCTACTATTTTCTTATCTACCCTCTTGTCCACTGATGGGCACCCCGATATCCCCCAACTCCTTCCATCAAACAAACAGTGCTGCAAGGAAGAGTCCTGAGCATGTTCCCTGTGGGTTTCCCTGGAGTAGAAATTGCTGCTTCCGAGCTGATGCATAGACTTAGTTTTCCAGGAAGTGCCAGATGGCTTTCTGGAATGGTTGCACCATTCAACACCTCCTCCTGTAGAGAAAGAGGTTTAGTGTGTTCCTGCTTCTTGACAATTAAGTTACACTGCTCTCTAACTTACAGTTGTCTAATTTTTTCCAGGGTAATAGGCAAATTGCTTTATTGAGCTATATTGATTTATTTTTTTAATTTATGTTTTTCTGATTACCACTGAGTTTGGACATTTCATTGTATACTTATTAGATTTTTTTTTTACCATTTCTTTTGTAAATTGTGCATTCTTATACCTTGCCTATTAAATGTCTTGGACTTGCTTTTTGGTTTGATTTTTTGGAAGGTCCTTCTATATTCTAGATGTTAAATTTTTGTTGGTTTTAGTCATTGCAATGTTTCCTTCCCTTTGTTCAGCTTCTTTCGTGGTATTGTTCATGCAACAGAAATTCTCTAATATAATCAAACCATCATTTTTCCTTATGTTTTGTGCTTTTGAAGTTTTACTTATGAAACACCCTTCCACCTTAAGGTCAGAAAAATATTGTCTCATGTTTTCTTATATTAACTTTATTATTCACATATAGGTCTTTAGTTCATATAAAATCCAATTCCCTTTTCTTAACATATGATGATCCAGCTTCCAAATTCATCTAATAAATTATTGCTCTGTTGTGTTGATTTTATATTATAATAAACCCCCATTTATACTTGGGTCTTTGAGGTCTATAGTAACTTCCACTGATATGTTGTTTCTTATACCAAATCATACTGTCTTTCTTTTTATGGTTTAATAAAAACTTTCAGGTTCTTACAAGGTGAATCTCCCTCATTACTCTTCTTAAAGATTGATGATTGACTTAGCTATTTATGGGCTTTTATTTCTTTGAGTCTGTAATTCTTTAATTCTACAACTTTATTAATAGCACCAAGCTATATTAATGTAACTTATCTCTCTCAGCTCAAAATATTTCAGAAAGAAGATTTTGTTATCTTCATTAAGTGTTATTCCATTCTACTGATGACATAAACAAGGCACAGATATTTAAGACTGTTTTTGATGTTAAAAAGAATGGGATGGTACTGGCTTCTAATGTTATAGGAGTTTTAAGGTGCTATAGCTCTGTTGGGCTGCTTTGCCTATATAACCAAACTGGTAGAGAATTTGAAGCCATTCGAGAAAGCCCTGGTGGGCTCTGTCTATGAAAGGGGCTGAGGTTTAAGACAAACTAACCCAAAAAAGAGACTGGCTCTGGAGAATCAGTTAGAGGAGCCAAACAAAGTGAATAGGAGTTGCAAGATTCAGATCCAAACCCATTGCATTCTTCTGGTTGGCTTTTGGCAATGGAGCAGGAGTTAAACGTTCATGAGGTAGGCAGCGTTGGAGTCTTTACTCTGTAGCAAGTAATATTCTTGGTATTTTATGTATTAAGTCTCTGAAACCTCACAACAACTCTGCAAGGTGGATTCTAAATTATCCCTATTTTGCCAGCAAAGTAACGGAATCACCAAAGGTTGAATCACTTGCATAAGACCTTAGACAAGGTTCAATTTATGATTCCACGCAACCTGACTCCAAAGCCCATGATATTAACCATGAATCTATGCTCTCATCACTCTTGAATTAAGTGTCATGTAGGTTTCTGAGAAACATGACCATAGTGGCAGGACCCAAGGCCCAGGTGCGAAGTTTACTGGGAGGTAGATACAGTATTAAGTCCTGGGAACAGATGGTTTTCACACTGGGTTCTGAGACTTGTGGTGCATTATGGAAGATATGTAAATTGGTGGTAACTTTAGAGAGAAATCAGACAGATTCTGTTCAGTTTTAATTTGCTGATACTTGTGTGCTACATAGCAGGCTTGACTGTCCTGGTCCTGGTAATTCAGGCCCCGGTAATCCCAGGTGATGATGAGGAAGGATGCTAGCAGTTGCAGCTCGGCCATCAGAAAGTGTCAGCAAATAATTTCAAGTTTTCTGGTCCCCAAATCTTAGCATCCATCTCTCCTGAGTGAAAATTGCTCTGGAAAGATGAGTGGGTCTGATTCATTAATGAAAATTGTCAGTGGCCTCTAACATAAAGAGCTGGCCAAAGGCAACAGAAGCAAGTGAAATATGGTGACAGCTGGTATGAGACTCGGGTTCAATAAGGCTGGCTGTACCAATACAAGGTCTGCGCCTGAGAAAAGGGGTCCTCCCCACGGACTATGAGCCCCACGTGGACACAGATCCTTGTCTACGTTGTTTTGTTCTTCACTGCTAGTGCCTAGAACAGGGCTGGCAAATAATGGGCACCCAGTAAATATTTTTGAGTTGCATCCTTTTGCAATCAAGGTGGGGTTTGGTTTTTTGAGAAGGCAAAGCAGTTCATTGATGAAAAAGATGAAAAAAATCGTTATTTTAATATAGGAGAATCCTTGGGCAAAAAAAAGATGAATAAAAACGCCATTTTTAAGGTAAAATTGATTTATTACTATATTTATGTATTTATTTATATTAATAAACAGGCTATAGATTAGAAGCGAAGAGGTAAGACTTTCCCTGACCCTGATGGTGTCCACACAGAGAACGCACGGGAGCCTGAGGTGTCTCAGCAAACACCTTGCACTGGCAGACACTGGGTTAAAGTTCTCAGTTGGTTGAGAAGATCTAAGTAAGTTTTTGCCTTGCGATTTTTTTTAAAGACATGAGCAAACATTTTGTTGTCATTTCTAGTAAGATTGCCAACATAGTGTCCATTTTCTGCCTGATTCTTCCCTGAAGGCTGGGACTACTCATTTGTTGTTCACACAGAACAGAGGTAAGATGCCCAGCAACACACGGAGGATGCTGGAAAGGCCCAGGCTGCCTATACAAGACATCTGAGCTGCCAAAGCTTGTCCTCACCCTCCCAGGAGAAGCACCGTTCTAGATGATGGCCCCGCCCCGTGGGGAGATGGCCACAGCCTGTTCAGAGACTATAGTCTCAGAGCACCACCTACTCACTGGGGAAATCAGGCCATGTGTTCAGCCTGCTGCTCTCTGAAATCCGAACATCTTTTTAAGTAGGTTTATGGCAGTTTATCCCACTGGGTTCAAGAATCAGACTCGTACATTCAGGCTTATCCACTGAGTATCATAAGCTACAAATTTCCTGTGTCTGCATTTTGTTCAGTGGCTTCTTTCGCAACGCTGCTAATTGACGATGCTACCATCTCTATTCTGCTAACTACTCATTAGCAGCGTGGTCAGACAGAGAGGTGCTTATTAGCCACTTAATAAGCATTTGCTGAGTTGAAATGTTGAATATAGTTTCAAGCAAAATACAGGGACGAAGCTGAATCATGCAGAGATGATTACACGCCAAGTGTGCACTCTTTGACAATTTGTTGCATGGATTAAGTCTGCTTCACAGACAATCTGAATGATGAGGTCTGTTGTCACAGAGACTCAGATAAGTTGCTTCCTCTTTGGTTGAATGCTTAAGGGACTTCCAAGCTCTTCTGGAATAGGATTAGATGATCTGAAGTTAAGAATAAGAAGTGTACTTATTTCCTGATATTGAAGATTACTGATCTTGGCACCCTATTTCTATAGTAGGTAGCAGCAAAGCCTTTTTATATTTGAAATTTGAGTTTTGCTACCAAAAAATCCATTTGATTATCATTTATGAACTCCACACTTGTATCTTTGTCCCTTGGACCTTTATGAGAGATTTGGGAGTTCCTGTTGCTTCAACTCAGATGACCACAGTATGGAGTGGACCTCTTCAAAGATCTAAGGTTGGGGCTAAGAGCTTTTATAGAACAGGGAAGTGTCTGTTTCACGACTGTATCCCTAATGCATTGCACAGTGCCTGGCAGTAGACCAGTGGTTCTCAACCTGTGGGTTTCGACCCCTTGGGCCTAAGATCATCCTGCATATCAGATATTTACATTACGATTCATAACAGTAGCAACATTACAGTTATGAAGTAGCAACAAAAATAATTTTATGGTTGGGTCACAACATGAGGAACTGTATTTAAAGGGCCAGAAGGTTGAGAACCACTGCAGTAGACACTCAACATATTTGTGGGATGAATGGCTAAGTATTTTTTAAAAGTCCTTAAAGCAAGAATATGTGAACAGAAAGAGATGAAAAAAAAAATACTTTTTCACTTTTTAAAAAATTGAATTGTACTCCAAAGGGGCATGCTTCTACCCGAACCACTATTCAGAGGACTGACATTCTATAGATTCTGTGCTCTGAGTGCTATTCTCAACTGAGTCTGCATGGATTCTCACTCTGCTGGGCACCAGGACACTGAAAAGTTACCCTAGATTCTTTAGTTGCTTGAAGGTCAAAGTCCTGAAGTAGACCTCTTCATTGAAATGGAAGTCTGTATTGTTGCTAATAATGACTAATTTTAACTTCAGTTATTTCTCCTTCCTCCAAGCTGGAATATTGTCTAAGTTTGGGAAATTTCTTAGCTCATTTTACATTTTCCCCTGAGGGCAAAACTGTGGAGGTGCTGGATTTAGGACACGGGAGCATCCTATATATTACAAGCCTAATATGCTAAGTGTCTGGTCGTCCAGTCATCCATTCAACCAATCAAAGCACAATATGCTAATGATATGCTAAGGCCACTCAACCGCTCACTATGACATGCACTGACAACCAGAGGGCAGACACTCTGGCTAGTAGGTTAGCTTGCTGCTGGGGTCCTGATGATCAGGACTGAGTGAGATGGGCCGGACACGCCCTGGAGCCCTCCCGCGGTCCCTTTCCAGCTGGCCAACTTCCCGCGTTCCTCCCCAGCCCCAATCTTGTACCAGTGGGGTCCCTGGGTCTGGCCTGCTCCTTCTTGCAATCCAGGACACCTTGGGGGATGTCAGAGAGCCGGTTTCTACCTGATCCCGCAGGCCAGACCGAGGGACCCCACTGGTGCACTGGGTCTTTAGTCTAATATAAGCCAGCTTATTTTCTTTATAAGAAGCTCTTTGAGATGGACCCAAAGTTCCAGTGCACCAAAAGTGTGCTTTGAAGGAGATGGCTGGGCATGACTGGATTGTTTATCTTTACTAGAAGACCAAATGGAGGAAAATATGCAGGAATGGGATTCCTGGAGGCTAATGGAGTGCTGGGGAAGCTTAGTGAATAATCTCAAGACCCACCTCCATCCCTCACCCTATTCTGCTTTAGTCATAGCATTTATCCTCTTAACTGTTTTACATTTGGGAATCATATGTAATATAGTATTTGGGAAAAATGGATGTAAATAAGGTCGAAACTACTGTTAAATAGAAAGAACAATGGCTTTTGCTCTTGAAGAGAGTGCTTCAGTTTCTAGTTTTCTGATCCCCTGTACCCTGAACATTTTTTTTTAACTCATTCAGAGGCTTTATTTATAAAATGAGGTTGTTGTGAGCATTGGGTATAAACTCTGCAGGCTACGTAAGCCATCCTTTCCAAGTTTATGGCTGAAACAACTAATTTTTCTTGGGAATGGAAGTGGCCTTATAATTTTTCCAACACTGTGCTCCAAGACATCAGAATTCACACATGTATAGAAATATATTTATTCTCCCTTAAGACCTGAAACCAAAAGACTAAGTATAAAAGTGTGTAAATAAAGTGACTTTAAAAACGATAGACAATGGTTGTATCATGTGACTACAAACAATTTATATCAGTAGTTCTCAACCTTCCTAATGCTGCGACCCTTTAATACAGTTCCTCATGTTGTGGTGACCCCCAATTTCATTATTACAAATTGAACATAATTAAAGCATAGTGATTAATCACAAAAACAATATGTAATTTTATATGTGTTTTCCGATGGTCTTAGGCAACCCCTGTGAAAGGGTCGTTCGACCCCCAAAGAGGTCGCGACCCACAGGTTGAGAACCACTGATTTAGATCAAGGCAGCAGTTAGTACAAATCCTTCAAATAAGGATTTATTAATTAAATAGCAATGACTAACTTTATTGAGTAGTTACTATGTGCCAGGCAATATTCTATTTATTTTTCATGAATTAACTCATTGAATCCTCTCAACAACACTTTGAGTAAAAGGCAGATCTCAGAATAACACGGCATGGATTCTGATGACATTATTTTAGGGTGGCCTTTGTCCATCTGTGATTCCCTTTAAAATGACAATTTAGCTTTTAATATTTATAAATTAATTTTATTTTTAAAAATTTATTTGACCTGACTTATGAAAGAGCTTTGAATCTCCACAAACTCGACAAAGTTCCTTGTTTGTGTCATTCGGGTTGACAGCCATTACTTTCCATCGAAGTAATTCTGTGCTAATAAAAATGAGCTATTACATGGCTTTTCCATTTTGATATAATAGCTGAGTCAAACGGTAATTGCACATGAATCTTGCAGAAAATGCATATCTGAAAACTGGTCTGGGAATATATACATTTTAAGGCAACAATGTTTTTAATGGTTGTTTCCCAAAGTACCTTCCACAAGGTATTACATATGAGCAAATTACAGTTGTTTCTTGGGAAAAGGGTTCATATAGTAGTTTGTGCTGGGGAAATGGTGGGTTAAACACACTTAGTCAGGCGTGTTTTTTCAGTTAGATTTTTTGGAGACTTTTATATGTGCAATTGTGATGCTCCAGAGAAAAGCTGTATGTATGTATGTGTAAGTATGTCCAGTATGTTTGTCTGAGTGTGTGTGTGTGTGTGTGTGTGTGTGTCTGTGTGTGTGACTATCACATTTCTCAGCATTAGAGTGTGTGTGTGTGTGTGTGTGTGTGTGTGACTATCCACATTTCTCAGCATTAGCCATTATTCTTGTTTCAAAGCTTCACTTTCAAACATTGCTGCAGATTCCTATTTTGCAAGTCAGAAGCTTGGTTTTCACTCACTTTTTTCTATGTCTTCATTTTATAATGGCTCCTAACCTGTCCCCAGCTGGCGGAGGCCACCAGTGAACTCCAGCAAAGGTTACACGTGCAAAACAGCAAATAGAAATGCGTATGGATCATTTTCAAAATGTTATCCTCCACACACTGGATAGTTATTTTCATCCTACTGCCAGGGTTCTTTATCTTTCCTTGAGGTAGAAAGGCTGATAGCAACCATGAGAAATTATACAGACTTGGATAAACATCCTAATATTTTTATGACTATTTCTTCAAATATAAAAATGAGGAAAAAGTTGCTTGAATTATCTGCTTTACGGAGATGTCAATAGTATATGTGTGAAGGGAGAGGCCAGGGAAGTTTCTATATAATAATGCATTGAAAGTGCTTTTTTAAAAAAACAAACATATTCAAATGGGCAATATAACCTGGGGCCTCCAGGTGGTAGTGGCTCCTCTGCACTTCAGCTTTTAGTTTTCGGAGTTTCCAGACTCAACTGTTATTGATAGTAGTCTATAAACACAACCACAAAACTGTTCAGAGACACTAGAGAGAACGTTGCCATATTTCCCTTAATTCAAATCACCATCTCCTGCATTGTTTGGTTTGTAAATATTTGGTTTTATATGATGGGTTTTTCTAAGTGTGTGCCCTTTGACCAAAAGTGCACCAAGTTTTATAAATTAAGCTCCTGCTATTGATGGCCATCAATGGGGCAGCGAAGGAAACTTCATCTAGCTTTCCCAATGCATAGCTATATGATGCCAATAGTATTTTTATGAGCATCAACAGTACAGAGGGACAGGGAGGCTGACGAGTTGTCCATGCTAACACATTTTCTGTTCTCTGTTGTCCTCCTGCCGCCCTATACAGAGAGTGCAGCATCCACATGAGTGTCCTTCCTGTGGAGGCTTTGGCTTTCATCCGTGCTCCGTGTGCCATGGGAGCAAGATGTCAGTGTTTCGAAACTGCTTCACAGACTCTTTCAAAGCCCTGAAGTGCACGGCGTGCAACGAGAACGGTCTTCAGCGCTGCAAGAGCTGTGCTGCTTAGGCAGCGCTTCCGCCAGGGAGAGCTGCGTTTTATCAACCGAGGCAATCATTTGCTTTCTACTTTTTTTTTTAATGGTCACGTTTATGGATTAATCAATAAACTTTGTTTATTATAAGTGCCTTTGTTTTGAATTTTTACTGTGACCATTTGATTTGATATCAAGTGAATGTTGATTTAACAACATGCCAAGCCCTGTGTTAGTAGATCCCGGTTTCTATTTGGAAATACCCAGCACCATTCCAACAAGCCCAAAGTTTGACTCCTTAAATGGGTTTGATTTTCTAAAGAAAAGACACAATGTATCTATCTGATGATGCCCATTGCAATGTCACCCTATGGATGAATTAATTCAACTTTCTAGGTGTACAGAACATATTTCTATGGGAGAAGAGAGCTCTGGGATAGTGGGAAAGAATACGGTCATATTTATTCTTAGACAGCAACATTTTTACTACATCTTGGAGCAGGTGATTTTAATGATAAATCAATATTGTCAGATGGATTTCATGGTGATGATAAAAAATAAGCTGCCAGAAGACTTATCCAGACTTTTTTTTTTCAAGCATCTGCTTTGTGTGTCATGGAAAGCAAACAAAGGCTGCCATTATAGTCCTCTTGAGCTGGACGCAGAGAACTATACAGTTTGAACACATCGTAGGCAATGATAGAAAAGGGGACAGAAGAAATTTTGCTGCAATTATTGGCTGATGCCTAACTGTGCACACATCTGTACTCTGATGAAATCCTTTATCAATGATTTTAATAAATCACCTTCACAATATTTGTAATGTCATCAAAGTATTTTATACCTTAGTTTTAGACCAAGTTATGTTTACCAAATACTTCCTAATCATCTAGGCACAGTATTCGGTATAATTTCTGCTTTCATGGCACTTACTCTGTAAGAAGGAAAGAAGTATTAACTAACTATAAGCAGAATAAGTCTTATAAATACTAAATGAAACAGTGTGCTCTGGGAATGTATAGCAGAAGGAGAAACCTGGATGAGTTAGGAAATGGTAAGAAGAGACTGTTGAGCAGCTGACAGTGAAACAGACATGAAGGGTAATAGGAAACTAGTTAGTCAAAGAGCCTGAGAGATAGTGCTTCAAGGTCAAGGATAGCATATGTGGAGACTCTGAGGTCAGAGAAAGGTGTATGTTTCTCTGCTGAGGAACTGTTAGAATCCAATACGGGAAGTTTCAGTCTAGTAATAGTGGAACAGTTATGGCGGACTAATAATATGCTAATAATATGTTTACATGAACAAGATAGGAAAACATAAACTGCTCAAGCCATTGGAAAGCAACTAAAATGGAAAGATACAGGGAGGGATTCAATCACTAGACAAAGGGAAACAAAATGAGCCCCACATTTATCCAGCTTATCCTCTGAGCACTTCCCAGTTGGCACCGAATAGAGCTCCTGAAGAAAGAGCATTGAAACTAGAGACATCTTTAAAATGTTGTCATGCAATCCATAAACATGGTAGATTTCTTCATATATTTGGATTTTCTATAATTTCTTGGTGGAATATGCACTGTAGTTTTCAATGTGAAAATCCTACACATCTTTTGTAAAATGTATTCCATGGACTTGATGTTTTCTGATAGTGTTATAAATTGTATTATTTTAGTTTTGTAGTCTGTCTGTTGCTTGTGTATTGTATTCTAATTTTTGTCTAATGACCTTGAATTCAGCAGTTTTGTTAAGGTCACTCTGAGGTTCAACAGCTTGTGGATTTCTTTGGCTATTCTACATATCAACTGTGTAATTTACAAACTTGTGGCCTGGTGCATGAAATTTATGCACAGAGGTGGGCGGGAGGGGTATCCCTCAGCCTCGCCTGCACCCTCTCCAATCTGCTGCTGGCCTGATCACCCCCAACTGCCCTCCCTCCTGGTCAGATCCCCCCTAACCGCCTCTGCCTTGGCCCCGCCACCATGGCTTTGTCCAGAAGGTCTCCCAGTCTAATTAGCATATTATCCTTTTATTAGTATAGATGATGAGCTTCATTTTTTTTTCAATCTTTGTGACTTTTTTTTTTTTTGCCTTATTTAGGACCTTCATCACAATGTGAACTAAAAGTGATGAAAGTAAACATTCATGCACTCTTCCTGAAAAAAATAAATGTTGGAATTTGGGGCTGCAGCATGCCTTGAATTGAATGAATACTTCTAAGAAATGAGAAGACCAAAGACAAGTCCCAAAATCTGCTCATCAATTCCACTCAAACCCTTGGCTGATTCCTGACTTACATATACAGACTCATATCCTGAGACCAAGCAATTCTCGGACACCACCTGGGTATCCTACAATTCAACTCAGTTCTGACACTATATACCTGAAGATAAAGAACTCAGTCCTATAAAACTGCCCTCCCTCCCCAAACACTTGTTACCTGTGCTTTCAACCAAGTGGCTATAGATCACAACTCCCTGCTTAGTTTCCATTAATTTGCTCGAGGAGGTCACAGAACTCAGAGAACCATTTTTCTTCATAACT